TGAGTTGATGGAGTTGAGGCAAATGTTTGACTGCCATTCTATGCTTTGTTCGATGGTGATGCGTAGAGCTACAATCTGATAAGCACATGATTTGCCTTTCCCGAATCCAGCTTGTTCCTACGGGTGGATTTCTGTATCCAGTACATCCTTTATTCTTTCCAGGATGATGCGACTTAGTATTTTACTTGGCGTAGGCAAAAGCACTATTCCACGCCAGTTCTTCCACAGACCCAAGTCGTCCTTCTTTGGTAGTTTGACCAGGTAACCCTTCTTCCAATCACTAGGCACCTTTCCTTCTTTCTAAACGTTTTGCAGTAATGGAGTGAGAACATCTGCCGTAATCTCTGGGGCCGTCTTCAGTGCTTCGAGAGGAGTGCCATCTGTTACTGTTACCTTTCGAGCCGGCGTTCAGTAGCCTGATCTCATTCAGGATTTCTTCTTTCGTTGGAAGGGTGGTGTCCACCGGCATTTCTGTGCTTTCTATTGGTGATATTTCTGGGAGAGTTGGCGGTGGTAGTCGATTCAAGAGTCCTTTAAAGTGATCAGTTCATTGTTTGATTTGTTTCTCCTGCTCGGTGATAACGTCCCCTTGACCATCTTTTATTGGTTCCATCATCTGGATTGATCTCTTCCCAGATAGAGGACTTATTTACCTGATATAGTGTCCTGATGTCTCTTTTGCCTGCGGTCTGTTATGCTTCAGTTGCCGACCAGTGTGTCGTTGAGTTATTGTTTGTCTTTTCTAGCACTCTTCTTCATTTCTTTATTCAGTGCAGTGTACATTGAACTCAGCTTCTCCTTCTGTTGTCCATAACAGATATTTGGCTAGTTTATTTCATATGTATTCAGTGTTATTCTGCTCAGCAGTCCAAAATACTTCACATCCACTCGGATATTTCATTTCACTCTGAAATATACCTGAAATGTACTCATTAGTTTTTTATTAGATGCTCTTTTACAGCGATATACTTATACATGCATAAATTTCAGAACGAAAAATATTTATTTTTTTTTAATTTCATTATTTTGTTAATTACAAATTTTAATATTGCTTTTCTTCTTCTTTCTAATTAAATTTATGCAAAATAACGGAACAGGAGACATTGGTCTAAAAGTATTTATCATTCTGTTTCAGTATTCCATTCTGTGCAATATTTTAAAGTGATCTCATTGATGAATCTATGCAGAGGAAATAAAGCAAAATTTGACCATTGTTATAGGATAAAGAACAGTATTATATATATATATATATATATATATATATATATATATATATATATATATGGGGAGAGAAGGCTGCTAGCCAATTGGTAGACATTAATCTACGTCAATGTTTAGTTCACTAATATTGGCCGTGAGTAAATATGAACAAGGCTGATTCAACAACGAATCACAGTAAACTTAACGTGGGCAACTATGATTCGCAGATGGATGGCTCTACTTTACGATGGTTACCCGAAGCAACCAATCAGAAGCCTTCGTTTGTCTGCTTAACTTCTGGTAAAAAACCAATCAGGAGACTGCTTTCGTCTACTTGAATAAGCCATAATAATGTATGTGAAATGTATATAAATACGTGTTGATTTCCGTAATAAAACGATCTGTTGCCGGCCCTTATCTTCTGTTGTTACATATATATATATATATATATATATATATATATATGAATTACAATAGACAATAACAGTCAGCTGTTTTTTTTGTGTTAAAGTTCGACAGTGAGTGGAAATACTAAAGTGCTATAATATTGGTGTATATTATTATGAGTGAATGTGTATTTATATGTTCACTGCTCTTGTGGAGCTAGTTTCATAGGAGATTCGTCGGGAAACATATCCCACAGTGCTCGGGAGCACCTCCGTGTTTGACTGAGAACAGGAGAAAGCAGAGGTATTAATTTTATCGATATTGTAAACATATTGTAGACAGTGACCACTTAACATCTGACGCATTGTTTAATATAATCTACAAGGCGAAGTTCAAGAATAACGTCCCCAAAGTAGTGTGAACGCTCAAATGCCCTTGAATGCATGTAGTGGTTGATTGAAGGAGCCTACTATTATTCTAGCGCGAAAATGAACGCGGTTCATCTGTTCAGGTGCAAATTTCACTCAGATCATGTATTTCAATACTGTCTGGATAATGGATTGATAGGACGTACTCGTAAATGTAGTTTCGGCGCTTCAGTGAGCCAACAACCGTATTCACAGGTCACTGATGGATATATATTTAGATGTTCGGAGTGTAGGAAACGAACAAGTGTTCGTACTGGTAAGTGACACTCTCAGTTAATTGTCTTCCAAGAACATTTTTTTCTAAATTGAAACCTTCTTTGACGAATATACTGTTTCTTTGCCATTACTGGATTTTGAAGTCCGCAGTGAGGCCAATAGCCGCTCAGACAGAAATTACCTTGACGTCAACGTATCTTACATCTTGAAGGAAACTCATTTATCTTCTGAAATCCAATTCTAGGTCAATCAGTGCCGTAGTCAGAGCTGTCAAATAATATCACGGATTCTACCCTTGAAATGGTCTTTTGATATGATTATTGTTATTCCCTTGGGTTTCGGGTACAGTGTTTAGATTCAACAGCGCCTATCCAATTTTGTCCTGTTTCCTGAAGACCACTTTGGCCGGCTACGCGATCGCCCACCAACTTTCATCTTCCCCTCACACAAACTTCTCCATATCACTCTCGGTCAACAACCAACTCGTCCTTTTCCTTTCGGATTCAACTAGAGAGATGGCCTCTCACACGACGTCATCCACTGTTCCCCCCCCCCCGACCCAACTGCCGTTTTTTTCTCAACATCCGTTCTTGGTTGGTTGGTTATCAGAGTTTCATGTTGGCAATTATTTCTGGCCATCTGATCTTCAGTATGAAACCAGTGAAGGCAACCGTTGATAATATTTTACAGTAGCCTGTTGGAAATACTTTACGTGGCATGCCAACCTCCTGACCTATATAGGACCTCTGATTTAACATTAGTTTTGGAAATCTAAACTTTTGCTCTTTGTCCTGGGCTCAGAAGGTTTCCACAATGATTTCATAGTGACGAAAGTGTGCCTTGACTTTCCGCTTCTGGTTTTGACATCTTCATCCGTGTTGCTGTCTATAGTTGAATCGACGCTTCCCAAATAAGTGAAAGAGGTGACCTCATTGAAATTCGTTCTCTGATAGTGATTGATGCTTGTTGTGGTTGGTTGGCTATCTTAATTACTTCTATCTTCTCTACTATCCTTCTTTTTGAGCTTTTGTGGTGACTGGATTGATTTTCTAGGGTATGGTCACTAGCTCCACTCCAAAACTTTTTTATTTTCATGGGCTTGCAGCCGGCTAGAAAACTAGTGAACTAGCAGAATTTGCACCCCGGACATCACAGAAGACGAACTGAACGATCTCAAGAGAATTCTTGTCGACAGTTGTTATTCAGAACGATTTATTGCAAAATCCATGAATCCTAGACCTCAAAAGCCGCTTACGCTTAGCGTCCCGAAAAAACCCCTCTACATGAGCCTTCAATTCAATGGAGATTTATCTGCGGAAACGCTGAAAAATCGACTGGCCCTTGCACTTAAGAAAACCTTATTCGCAGCTGAACTACGACTAATGTTTTCCACGATAACTATGATTCTTGTGAACGTGAAGGATAAGGTACCACTGCTGGCCTCATCAATTTGTATCTACCAATTCACCTGCTCGTGTGGAGCCAGGTATATCGACCGTACCCAGCGTTCGCTTCCCAAACGTATCACCAAACGCTTACCAGCATGGCTTCACAAAGGAGAAAATCGATGCCCCCTCAGCTCTATCTTAGAATCCGGATACCAAGCTACACCCCAAACAAAGTCGTCCACAGAATATGAAGCAGTCTTTGTAAAAGTGTACGAATCAGACTTCTTCAAACTGCAGAAGCGATAGCAATTCACTTGCTAAGTCTTGAACTCTGCATGCAGAAGAAGTTCGTTCAGTCACTACACTTGCAATGGACGTAATCTATCTTAATACTCGACAGGTAAATTCTACTTAATTTTTCTTTTTTCTCTTCTGTCTCTTCATTGGTATTATTTTGTCTTTTCTATTGTAATATTTTACATTTTCAAACTTCATGTTCTCTACCTCCACCGGGTTTAATTTCTACACCTCATTACCACTGTTATTGACTTGACCAACGCTCAATTTCTAGTCATTTAAGTTACGTCATCCAACTTAATTGCTCAATTTTAGTTCCAGTTTAAATGGCATTATTCTCTACCCACCTCTGCTAAGTCTCTACCTGTAATTACCTCTGTTGCTACCCTGACCTAAGTTGAAAATTTTAGTCAATTATATTACGTCATCTAACTTACTAACTCAATCTTACTTTAGTCGCTGACTAATTAACCTTGTTTCTATATTAGATCATTATTTTATTACCTGATTAATTATCTAAACTTGACAAACCTCATGCACACACACACACTTACAAAAATAGTTATTTATAAATGCGATTGTACAGCTATGTTAATGAATTCGCCGTCGAAAAGAGTCTCTTCACTGAACGTCTTCTCTTTTTCATATGACTCAATGGGGATTTTTGAGCAACTAGTGAACTGGTAAACTAGATTAGAATTCTTTTTGATATTATTGGAATAATTTTGAACTCTGCGTGATTTGCATTAGTTAGGCTAGCTATACAGAAAAACTCATCGAGTAGTTTTAGTGTTCAAACCAAAAAAAACTTGATTTTTTCGAATAAAAAATCCATTGTTCATTAGTGAACAAAGCCTGCTTTACAATTCACTCTTACTTCTCAGTAGAAACAGAAATGCCGAACAATAATAAAAATGTTATTTCTGTTTCTCTTATTCCTAAATATTTGTATACATGAGGTTGGAAATCATCTTCAGGGGGATTACGCCATGTTCCTGAATCATACACCTTCAATATCTCATTGATAATAATACAATAGAGAAATAGGAATAGTACAGTTTTGTTCAATCGACTTACAATGAATCTAAGTAGCTGTAGATGTTTTCTTCTCTGTTGACTCAATCATTCCGCCATTATTAATTGGTGGTAGAATATTTGAATTTGAATATGGCCTTGACTGTGATTGTTGTACTGTTGTTGTTGTTGTTGTTGTTATAGCAGATGGTGATTTTGTATATGGTGAATGAGCAGCAGATTGTAAATCTTTTAATAAATCATTTGAATTATTACCACTAAAAGCTTGTATATAACTATCCAATTTCATTTGTAATGCGTCAATTAAATCTTGTTGAGCAGCTAATGCACGTTGAGCTTGTTCATAATCAGCTTCTAATACAGGATTAGGTCGTGATTTATTCACCTGGATTAATAACTGTCTTGCTTTATCACCATCTTTACGATTTAAACCAAGTGCTGCTTCTAAATCGTTAATATGATTTCGAGCTGCTTTTAATTCTGTGCGTAGGTTATTGATTTCTTGAATAAGACTAACATTCTCCTAAATTGCATGTGTATAGGCAGGTAAAGAGAAAAAAATATATAACATTACATTACGAATGTATTATGCATAAAGCGATAATTTGCAATTAGTTGTGTTCTCTGATCTGGTTGGTTTAATTGCAAAGCTTTCGTCGTCCTTCTGGACAATATCTTCAGCGCAAGTTCTAGCATAAAATGAACTGATTTCGGTGGATAGATTTATAACTAATGTCGTTTATTTTAATTTGATTTATCTTCATTTCCCTTGTATGTAGTCACCGATCCTCCTACTGAAACCATAGTAATTTAACCGAGGGCTTCAAAGAGGACTGCACAGCATGAGAAGAGAGATGAACAATTAACAAAACAGCACATCTTCAGTCACTTCGGTGAATACATCTATAGAAACTAGTCCAAGTTAGAAACTGATTCTCTTCATCATAACTGGGACTTTTTAGGTCATGTCAGTGAAAGATAATTTTTTTATATGTTTTCATGCATTTTCTCGTGAATATACGTCATTTTTTTGTGCAAAAAGTCGCCATTTTTATGGTTGGTTGGCTGAAGGTCACTCGTGCGTTCGCATACTTGGGACGCTATTGTAAAACTTTGCCCTGTTTTCAATTCTTGATAAGCGACATCATTGTGTCTCCTAGCAGCCATCTTCGTGACTGGTAGTTGATTTATTTGACCTGGATTTGGGACGTTCTTGTCACATGATTTACTTTTTATTAGTTGGTAAATAATAATAACAAGTCTTCTAATCGCTGATTCGCTTGAGTACCAGGCTTTTAGGAGACGCGATTCTACCATTCATGGAGAATTTAAATCAGTGAGTTTTATGCTAAAATTTGCACCGGAGATGTTGTCCAGAAGGATGACGTAAGCTCCGCAATTAAACCAACCAGCTCGGAGAACATACCAACCTGAGCTACAAATCTTCTCTATTATAAAGCGGTCATAGAAGTAATGAGTGTTTGAGTGGAACAAACTACCTCGACTGTATTAGAACTTAAAAAGAAGTGCGCCTAAGTTCTTAGGTCCACAGCTTTTAGTCTAGTTACTTCTTGAAATACGTAGGTTAATTATGAAGTAATGATAATAAAACGTAAACTTGTAATTAGATCGTTTATATACTGGAAAAATTTGTAATATATTTATTTCAAACAAAAGAAAATGAGAATGACGAGAATCTCTCAGCATATAATTCACTATTAGATCCGTTTATTTGATATAAGGCATACAGTGTGATACGGGAATAATAAATGGATGACGTTTCGAGCACAATTCACACCTACTGATAATCATATCAGTCGAATCACACGACATCCTAACTTATTTCACACAGGCTTCCCCCCCACCCTCCACAAGCTTCTAAATCTGTTTCCTGTTGCAGTTTTCCGTATATGAGTGTTATGTTCCACGTTGTTCCAACTGCATGTGTTTGGTACTGATTCGATGGAAAAAGATCCCGTGATTAACCTCTCTGTCTCATCATCTAACTGTATCACTTTTAATACTTTTACCCTAACCCACCCTCTTATGTGGTTCATGCAAGTGTACGCGACCAATGACCAACTCTTCTCCTAGATTATTTAACTTAGTGAGGACAACCATTCTAGATCTGGCTTAAATTCTGTCTTCTACTAACTTAACTTACAGATACCTAGTAGTTTGACCTGCGTAAAAGACTTCACAGTCATTAAATGGTTTTTAGTAAATTATTATATACTGCCTGACTGAGTCTGTTGGGTCGTTGAGCAAAAAGGTTTATATTTGAATGGATCGATGTATTTAAATGTCACCCAAATCCCAGCTTAATTAAGAATACTACACTACTTAGTGCTTCTGATATTCTTGGTTTATATGTTAGTACTATCGAGGCTTTAAGTTCTTTGTTATTTTTAATATTCACACTACTAATTCCGTTCTTCTAACTTTTCTTCATTCGCCTAAGTTCCAAGTGGAACATAGAGCTTAAAGTTTGAGATTTGAAGTTTTGGTCATGGTGATGCCTTTTTTGAGGGGTTACATTTGTTAACTTGATGCCTAACTTTCTGTCTTTACCAGGCTTATTACCGACTGAACAAGGTTTTGGAGATCCTAGGCCAGGCACCGAACATATATCACGTGGGATGTTGGCGACCAGTCTACCATTGGACCTCCAAAGCAGTATTCTCATTAGTCCCACTAAACTTTTGAATAAAATCCAGTGGACGTTTATTCAGTAGAAGTATTTTCCTTACTTCCATAATCTGAATCAATCAACTACTGTACACAATACTATGAAGATATGCTGCAATGTGATAACAAAAACTTTTCTTTAACTCATACAAAGCGTTACTCATCAGCTAGTTGTATTTATAATCATCATTACTAACCTGTTGAGATGAGGTATCGCCCATTGTAGATATGAGTTAAGTACACAAACCAATCTGTAAATGACAATCAGTGTACCGAATAAAAAGTAATACAACGTATTTTGAAACAATTAGTCCCTTTTATAAATTTGGATAGCTTCATTAGAAGACGGAGATTATCTGAAAAGTTGTGTGATTTATTTGCGCTATGCATTTCGAACAATCTGATCACACACACACATTTACTTGTCAAATCAATATATATATGAAAAAGAATTAAGGGCAATTAAATTAAACAGTGACAAAATAAATAGAGTTAAGAACGATTAACACAACGTTTGTTAATCCACTGAAATAAGGATTACCAAGGTATGTTGAGAGCAACTTCGTTTACAGCTAAACATCTAATCAAGATGAACCATAAGATTGATGTTAGCTCAGCCTTTAAGGTCATCTATAGAAACGGTCAAGGGCGCTTATTGAAATACGCTGAGGCTTTAGCTATTCATAAACCTAAGCTTCCCACCCCCCCTGTGTATTCAAAAAACAGTTTATTATTACTCTTAACCTCCCTTGGTAATCCTTATTTGACTGGATTACCAAACGTTGTGTTAATCACTCTTAATCCTTTTATTTTGTCACTTTGTTCAATTTACTTTTTCATATATATCGACTTGACAAGTAAATATGTGATCATCAGATTGTTCAAAATGTATAGCACAAATACATCACATTGTTTTTCAGATAATCTCTATCTTCTAATAACGCTATCCAAATACAACGTATATTTATAGATTTGTTCATGTGGCTAAACTTCAATTTATGCATACATTTGGTTATTCGTGAATTTGTACAAATGAGAATCTATAAATCTATGCGTCCTTACCCAGTGGCTAATTGTTAATGTTCCTATCTAGTAACCAGAAGATCCTGTGTTCAGTTCCTACTGATGTCATGTTTATGTACTACAGAAAAATCTCAAGCCAAAACTAAACATTTTTCAGTACTCAATAGTTTTCAATGGCTCTTTAATTAATGTCAGTTTGTGATGAAATCCAGCATTGAAATTATCAAACTAGTTAGGCTTTTTAATAGAGGCGATGTCAGTTAAACTTCTCATGTAGCATTTAACATTTAACAAATAAAAAATCATGGGATCGAAAATGTCTTAGGGAAATCAAGTTCTTTCTTGAAGTAGATTCATTTTAAAGACATAGGAATTAGTTGGTCGCGTTATTTAAATTTCGATTATGGTTTTTTTGTATTCCTTTGTGTTCAGAGTGAAATGTAGGGATTTGAACTTCAAATTGAGCCCGTGAAGGATGACAATGGAAAGTCAATCACCAAAGAGGTGGAGTAAAGGAAACGCTGGGCTGAACACTTCAAAAGACTTCTAAATCGACTGCCACCTACAAAGTGGCCAATAATACCAACAACGGAAGCAGAACTACCAGTGAACATCGACCCCCCGAAGAAATCAGAAGTCCTGAATGCAATCAAGATGCTAAAAGCTGGAAAAGCAGCAGGACCAGATGTAATCGCAGCAGAAACATTGAAAATGGACCCAGAGACAACAGCGGACTTGATGACACCACTACTGGAGAAGGTGTGGTAAAAGGGCAAGGTAGCTGTGGATTGGAAGAAAGGCTACCTATTCAAACTGCCAAAGAGAGTAGACTTAAATCAATTCAAGAACCGGTGAGGCATTATGCTCCTGTCCATCCTAAGCAAAATACCAAGCAACATCAACCTGGAGAGAATCAAACAAGCCTTGGATGAAAAATTCGACCGGAACAGGCTGGTTTTAGGAGGAACAAGTCATGAAGTGATCAAATCGCCACACTACGGATCATAATTGAACAAAGCTTGGAATGGCAGTCAGCTATCTACCTAAACTTATTTGACTTTGAAAAGGCCTTCAGTAGACAGCGTCGATCGAGAGGTAATTTGGCAACTAATTTGCTACTACGAGGTGCCACCAACATTTTACAACGACAATGCTGCATGCCAAATAATCCTTCGAAGTGAGGACGGAGTAAGACAAGGCTTCCTACTGTCTCCACTGATTTTCCTGATTGCAGTAGACTGCATAATGCGACAGACAGCGAGCAGCAAGTAAACAGGCAGAAAATTGACCCACAGAAAAAACTTGGAGGATCTGGACTTAGCCAATTATATACGTCTAATTTCCCACAAACTGGAAGGTATCAAGTGGGAAGCAACAGTTTGGCAGAAGAAGCATCAAAGATAAGACTTCAGGCGAACATAGATAAAACAGGAGTGATGAAGATTCCTGACCAACAGTAACAGCGACCACAACAACCGACAGCAATCAGCATAAATGGGAGGAATCTGAAAGAAGCAACCTCCTTTACCTACCTAACTGGGAAGCATCGTTTCAACTACAGGCGGATGGATCTGATGAGGATATCAAAGCGATGATCGGGAAAGTAAGGCAAGCCTTCATTTCTCTAAAGTCTGTGTGAAGTCAACAGCACTCAGCATGAAAACAACATGCGGATTTTCAACTGTGATGTGAAGTCAGTCGGTGCTACTATACAGAAAAGGGACTTGGCGCGTCTCGGAGGGCACTTTGTACAAACTACAGACCTTCATCAACAGCTGCCTTCGCTTAATATTACTCAAGATTAGTTGGCCAGAAAAGATTAGCAACAGGGATCTCTAGTGATGAGCGAACCAACCAAGCAGAAACCGACTGTGCAACAAATATGCAGGAAGAAATGGAGGTGGATTGGTAATACTCTGAGGAAACAAACCATCAAGTGTCATCACACGACAGGCCATTGCCCAAGTGGAACCCGAAAGAGAAGCGCCAAACTGGTCGTCAGTGCGAGGGTGACATGGAGGAGGCCCTGTGAAGTGGAGACGAAAGCATGTAGGCAGACACGGAGCCAGGTGAAAACACTGACACAGAACAGAACGGAATGGAGACGTGCGGTTGAAGCCTTATGTTCCTCTGGGAATTAATGAGAAACAAGCAATAAAGGTTAATAAAGCAGGATTTAATGAATTCACATGCTCTCATATACTCTCTCTCCCTTATCTATTTGTATATGACCTGGAAAACATTCGCACCTGTCTTTCTGCAGGACTAATTCAATTTAGTTTGTTTACTTATCAGTCTTATATCTCCCAATGTAATTTCAAAAGTATATATGATAGAGAAGATTTGTAGCTCAGGTGGATGATTTTGAGCTTCGCAAATTAACCATCCAGCTCAGAGAACAAGACCACATCAAAAGTATATATATCTGTGCATGTAGAGTATTCAGCTGACGAATTCTACCGAAATTTGATGAATTCATTAAATCCTGCTTTATTAACCTCTATTGCTTGTTATAAATTTGTATCGGGAAATCAATGTTTTCATCTAAAGGAAAAGATAATAAATAATAATAATAACAAGCTCCAAGACTCAAAGTTTCGGTAGCAATGTTAATTTACAGAATGTAGTTGCTTGTCTTATGTACAACTTTCCCTCCTTTCTGGCTCATTATAGGCTAGAAAACTTGTTGAGGCTTAGGAGTGTGTTGATTAGGAATCCAACATTAACCTTCCATGTGGTTAGTGAGCATTCTGCTATTGAGCCACTGTGTTGCATGGAAATCAATTAGTATTGAGCATTTGTTTCGGTCTCCTTCTTTAGGACTATTCGCCTGAGATCCTACGTAACACCACGTTACGAGGAAAGGCAGATGACTAACCAAACACACAAAGACATGAACGCAGTTAGATAAAATAGTCAGAATTACTGGAAATTTAAATTTCCCTTTATTTCTCCTCATTTCATGACATCGATTTTCCCTTTCAACTACCTGTCTTACTAGTGTAGGTTAAAAGTAGACACTTCATTTTGTATATAAGTGTAGTAGAAAAATTATGAAAGATAACAAACGTACTACTCAATAATAATCAGTAGTATAATTTGGACGGCTGATTCTACAGAAATTAATCAGAAACAGTTGTTTTTCACAAACCCAAAGAATGACGATTAATACTTTTTTTTTTACAAAAGACCATTTATGACATAGCAGTCAAGTGATTATAATTCTAAATTTTGAACGGACAGATAACGCCATCACTCTAAATTTTAGATCAAGGGGAATATCACATCACTTTTAAAGCAATCTTATATAGATGGACGCGTGTACTGTGCGGAAGTTTCCTCTGTCCTACTTTACGACCGTAAAACTTGACATTTGGAAGTTGAAGATGTGGATAAGTATCTTTACATTCTGTCTTCTTGGATCACAAGCTTACGATAATGCTAAGCTCATTTTGAACTATGCGTCAATAATGAGTTCTGATACTAGGCGAATATTTCGTGTTACGAACTTCCTGGAATAATTTGAGCACCGAGTCAGATTGATTCATTATAAATTATTTAAATTAATCCTAGAGTGTTAAGAAAATCAAAACAAGATTTTTCTGAACGTTTCGCTGTGTAAGCCACAGCTTCTTCTGCTGAAGAAGCTTGAAAACAAGCTAAGATAAGCAATATTATCAATAATATAATAAGGTTAGGAGTAGAGTGCTATATGCTCAGAGTATTTCAGTATACGCTCCTAACGGTTTATATTAGGTAGTTCTGAAATCTTTCCTGATATCAATCTTGTGAATCACAACTATGGACGTGACTGGTAGTCTGTTATATGCTTTTATTGAGGTTTCACAATTCAGTTATGTCGTGACACCCTCACATTCAAAGTGTCATCATTCTTCTCTATGTATGTGTGACAACCCGAACGCACATGTAAATTGATATGCAATATGAGCGTGACATAAACACTTGTTTAAATGTTGAGGCTTGTGGTATAGCATGTTTTCGGCTTTCTCGATAATTATAAGCCTAGTTGCTTGAACAAATTTTACGAATGACAAAATTTAAGCTGTCTTAAAATTCCACCAGTAACTTCCCCGTTGTAAGGTACTTTGATAGACATTTTTCATTGGGGCATATTAGACTAAAGCTTTCGGAAGTATCTAACCTCTACACCGGCTCACAAACTACAAAGGAAATCCGTTTACGACAAGTTTATCCGCCAATATTTCATTCTTATCATGTATACTTAATCCTCTTAAATGAGCACTCAACCAGGCCTCCCTTCTATTCTAATGGACATAAACCGTGAAAATTAAAATCCTACCATGTCCAAGTTGGCTTTCTATAAATCGATAGATTTTCTTAATCATTCTCTCCCCTCTTCAAAAGTATGTCTACGAATACAAACTGGTTGGGACCTTCCGTTTCGCATTTAAGATAGATGTGGTGTTTTACACAGCTAAGTCTATTCAGTAGATAAGTTGCATCTCCATGCTTATTGCATATCACAAATAACATCATCAATGTATCTCCTATGAAAATGCACAGTAGTGATCAAATCACCTACCAGATTTTCAATCGAAGACACATAAACATCAGCCAGCAGTGGTGTTAATAGACTCCTCATAGCAATGCCATCCAACTGTCAAAAGTGTTCACCTTCAAAAGTGAAATAAAATGGATCTGCATATCTGTCCATTGTAGTATTGTTACTTCTTTGTTATCTTATTTTATGAATGCCTTGGAAAAGTGTGATGACTTAACCTGATACACACCTGTTTCTAATTCCTTATTAATTGGTAAGTTCATGAGCCAATTAATCTCAAGACAGTCTTCGCTATGAAGCTACATCGACCACCAAACTACCTACGAAGGCAGAATTGACTATCCTAGCAAAATTTTGATTTATCATCGCCTGAAAGAAAAACACTTATTCACTACTCCTGATTATTAATCATTCACAAGAACATTGAACATTTTAAAAAGATAAATAAAAGTTATGCTGTTTAGAAACAAAACGAAGCAAATTACTCACTTGCATTATACGAATATAATCTGCACGATGCATTTCACTATCCCGAGCTAATTTTTGTCTTAATCCAATTACAGATCGTTCAAGATGTTCTCTTTGTCTTGAAAATTCTTTTTGAATATCTGCATCAGCTGTAGCATCAACAGCCTAAAATTTATGAAAGATCAAGTGATAAGAAACAATTCTAATCATAATGATCAGCTTTATCACTATCTTTATAGTGAACGCTTTAAAACAATCACTTATATGGACAGTTGGAGTAGGTTGTTCATAAAGCGGCTACAAAGGACGTTTTGCTCCCTGACCTTGTCAGATGATTTCTATGGGATTCCATCAGAGTATTACCCCTAAATTCTAATACTGGAGGCAACATTATCCTGTCTTTCTCTATCTTTCTTTCATATATATAGCTATTGCTCTCGACGAAGTTTACTGGATACCCATTCTCTGTGAAGGCTTCTTTCAACTGTTTAAGTACATCATTAACACTGTCTCCACTAGAAATTCTCCAGATCCATGTGCTAGAGAACGAATTAAATTCCTTTTTCTGTCTATGGGAATAACACTGTAAAAGTTGGTCAGTTGTCCCAAGCAATTCCATTTTCTGTAAATAGGTCTTTTCAACAACTCTCCAACTGTCCTTTATTCATCAGTTTCTTATTCTAAAGTAGGATGACTGTCAGTGAATACCTTCAGGATGTCTTCCAAATCTCAGCTCTCATCGCATATAATGAAAGAAATACAGAGAGGAATAGTTTAGCTAAGAAAGTGTTGCATCTAAACTTTAAATTTAGAAGTGACACTGCGAATGAAATCCACAGAAATAGTCTTACAAAATCATTGAAAAAAACCGTTTTGCTGCCACTTTACGAATAACCTACTCTAACCGTCCGCTGGTGCACCTTAGTACCAAGGAAATGTTACCTCGATTGGCTAATTCCGTATGTATTTATATGTTCACCTGCTCTTCCAGAGCTAGGGACATAGAACGTTCGTCGAGGAACATATCTCACCACGTTCGACAGCACCCCTTAGCTTGGCCTAGCGAAGGAGAACCTAAAGGTATTAATCCATCGAAACTACAACTTATAGTAGTCACTGATCACGCAGCATCTGTTACGTCCTTTGTATATAATTTTTTAATAATGAACCACTGACTGAATTTCAACATAGAAATTCGTACAGAAGTGCACCAGTTCAACTTACCACAGACGATTTAACACAAAAATAGAGAAAACAAAACAGTCAAAAGAACTACAATGAGCAGAAATATGTAAGAAAAAAACAGCGACACGGGAAACACATAGGAGATAACAAAGAGTGAATGCATTTGTGCCACTGAGGATTGTTTTGAGCCATGTTGTGAGCCACCAGCGATCTCTAGCCATTAGTTTTTGATGTACCGAGGACGCCAACCAGGCAGCGTACACTATGTGGCTCAAACTAACAGTCAAAGACCTCATGGTTTTGACTCCAGGTTTTGATTTGACCAGCCCTAACTTTTTTCCAGCTAAGATTGTTCCATGAAGCATATCATGGCTTGGCATGCGCAACACCTGTCCTAGCTATTTCAGTTGACTGACATAACCTCCTTATCTAATAGTCTACGCCTTATGTCAATATTACTCTGCAAATTATGCCACTTAGCACATGAGACAAAATGAAAACACAAGCAGTAAAAGAAACCTACCCTTTCATGTCTTCCAATTTCAGTGGCCATGTATCACGGTCATAGAGAACAACTGAGAGAACTAACATTCAATACACATATCCTTCTATCGATAACTGGAAGTCATATCTACGTCAAAGATGATATACATTCACAAATAGCACAAAAGTCTTTTGTTTACGAGGCACCAACTCAGTCATCAGTTTTTTAGGATGTTAACTAAGCTGTTGCTTTTGTTCCAGTTTGATTGATTTCAATATAGACTTCTACATAAACCGAAATCATTTAGAGAACCACTCAAAACTGTAGAAGATCTGATCTCTGCTAAAGATATAAAGTACCGCATCTTGAACTGACACTTTCTTTCGAGAAGTTCTCTGTCTTTAAGTCACTCAGTCGAGATTTAGTACACATCAGAATTCAACCAATGGGTTAGAAATAAGTGGCCTTGTAGTGCTAACTTTTTTTAATTCTTTATGCGACAATAGATACCCAAAATAAGACAGTGTATGGCAATAGTGACATCTTGGGGAATAGCGCTCTACTGAGGTCAAGGTTCCAGTAATTCCCTATCTTATGCCATTTTACAATGAACACTATATTAGCATTCATTCATCATAAAAATGTATGGCCACACTGCAAACTTCACTGATAGAATTCAATCTGTAGCAAACAAAGGACCAGATACATTACACTAGCTACTAACTAGTGTATCATCCAAGTATCCACTACAGTCCTACAAGAGGTCAATCGCGACCACGTATAGCTTAGTGGTAGTATCTTTGACTCAAGCTCTGGGTTCAAATCTCAGGCAAGATGGGAGTTCATTCAAGATTGTAGATACGCCTTGCTGACGAGCGTCAATCATCACGAAACCTAGGTCTAATACTTCCTTTCCCAACCATCTAATATCAGCAACTCATTATAAGTAGTTAAAATTCACGTAGACCACTCAGTAGCATTTGTCGAGCTTCCATGGCGCTGAATGATTTGTTTACTGCCGTTTAGTTAGTTAAATAATCTTAAATGCCAAATATACTTAGTATTAGCACTTCTATTGTTTTCTTCGAGTTCCCTGAAGAACATAGGGCCTCAAGTTTCTGAACTTTCCTTGACGAAAGTTCTACTTTTATGAGATGAGGTTGATAGCTTCACACCCGATATTTTTTTCACAGGGCTTACTTCCACTTAGTAAACTAAGCAGGGTTTAGGAATATGTTCTCTGGGAGTCGAATGGTAACCACGTTCATGGTTGGTAAGGATGATACCAGTGAACCATGCACACTAATATTACCACTGGATACCAGATAGTCCTGGGAATGACTTCTTCAAAACAATATTAGAAATATATCAATGGGTAAACAATGAAGACCTACGGTTGACTGATATAAAATGCAATGACTGATGTAATTCAGTCTGCACCAAACAGTGGACTCGATGCATGATATCACTTGCTGCGTAGAACCTGATCAAAGTCTAATTACAAAGAAATCGACAAAGTAAAAGATTTAAAGGTAAGGCTACCTGGTGTAACTTTAGGCTGATAAAGTGTTATTATTTTCAGGGATTGGTTTACAGGGATTTGATTCACTTCGGCACTGATCATGTAGTGAGTATCAGTTAGAGAACCACTTGAAACCACTCGAGGGGGGTAATCGTCAGCTGTTTCGACATTGTTCGTGACCCTTCACACAGGACCTTCAGGTTACAAGGTGAGCTCGTTAGCTATTAAGCTCCTCGGACGAGATCCAGTGTACCACCAATGCTATATTCTTATGAAGTGTCTCTAACAAGGACGAAACTGCTGTTCAGTACTACTTGATGGCTTAAGCGTGGTTCTCTAACTGAAGTCGATTCATAATCAACCTTGAAACCATTATTAATACAATAGGCGAAATGCAATCCTGATCGTGGCAGGATACAAACTAGTCAAGGGCATTCGAGTTACTAGTTCGACGCTCTATCATTTCACCTTAAGTCATCAATTTTTATGTGACTAAAAAGACATTTGTGTTTTATGAAATTAATTCGTTTTTTTAAGCACTGAAACCTCTTTCCCAAAAAGTTGAACCAAAACCAAAAAGAAATCAAACATAAATAGAACACAATGGTAACGATGGCAACAACACAGTGACAACGTCTAGAACAACAACATGAACAGTACACAGTTGCAAGTATTAAAAAAAATACAACCCATCTTATCCTTCACATACTCACCATTGGTAATTGTGAGCTCTAAGTTTTAGACCAATGTTTTTGAAACAAAAAAGACCACTAGGATGATTAATTAATATTTAAATTTAAATTTCTGATTAAATAAACGTTACAGTTTACTTCAGTAGTGGAGCATAGAAAAACCTGAACAATCCGTTAAATGTCTTCAATGTTAAAGAAATACCTATAGTTCATACAATGCAGACCTTCATCAACCAAAAATGAAATTAGGAAGCCACTTAAATTCCTCTGGAAAAGTGTTTTAAAAGTAGGCCATCTTTTTAAGCAATTTACCTCTTATTATTATTATTATTGTATCCTTTAGTTCCTAGAGGAACATAGGGCTTCAGCTGCGCACCTCCATTGCCTTCGGTTTTCTGACAATTTTTTCACCCTGCTCCAGGTCTGTCCACATGCTTTCATCTCCTCCTCACATGATCTCCTCCAAGTCACCCTTGGACGACCAACTCGCCACCTCCCTTTCGGGTTCCATTCGAGGGCTTGTCTAGTGATGTCACTTGATGGTTTCCTCAGCGTATGGCCAATCCATCTCCATTTCTTTCTGCCTATTCGTTTCACAATCGGTTCCTGATTGGTTCGCTCCCAGAGATCCCTGTTGCTGATCTTTTCTGGCCATCTGATCTTGAGTATTGAGCGGAGACAGCTGTTAATGAAGGTTTGGAGTGTGTTTGAGGTGCTCTTTATGACTCGCCAAGTCTCTGATCCGTATAGTAGCACTGACTTCACATTAGAGTTGAAAATCCGGATCTTATTTTTGATGCTGAGTGCTGTTGACCTCCACACAGATTTGAGAGTAATGAAAGCTTGTCTTGCTTTTCCGATTCTGGCTTTGATATCCTCGTCAGTTCTGCCTGTAGTTGAGACGATGCTTCCCAGGTTTCCAGAGATTTAAGTGTCTTAAAGGTATATCAAGAAGTGCTATCAGTTAGGGAGGCATTGTATACTAGGGACGGAGTCCAATAGCCCACTAGCTAAATAATCAAAGGATTCGTCTCATGATCTGAAGCTCATGGGTTTAACCCCCTCCCACCAGCAAACCTAAACTAGGACGAATTAAATGTCTACTACTCCCTAGTTATCAGTGTGTGGTTTAGTCTGTTACATAATCACCTGTTTCAAGTGCTTACTATTATTAATACTACTATTTATTTTATAGTAAATTTGGTAATTATAAGCACTAACAAACAGACGCTACACATCGACCCAAATTCAGCGGCAAGTGATACTATTAAAACACTGAACATTTTAATGTATAAAGGCGAAGATTTGCTACTTGACTCACTATCTTTTGAAAAAAAAATCGAAAAATTCCCGGTCTGAATTAAAATAACACTGGAAATCAGACTATTCTGGTTGTGCATTCATTCTAGTTTGAATCTCTACTATCTACAATTATACACTTATAATTTTCATAAGCGATTAAACTTCAAGTCAGCACTGACTAACATAGTAAACCTCATGGTCTTCAAGAGAAATAATTTTGAGAATCATATTCATTTTATCTTAATTAATAAATCTGCAATTTCAGTTTATCAATGACTTTCTGTCTCATCTATTTCGAAATAATGCAAAGAAGCCATTAACTATCCATGATGTGACTTATTCTAACCTCTCGATAGATTTAGCAAAAATTCCCAAGAAGCGGAGGAGGACACAGGATTGTCTTCCAACATCACAAGTTACAAAGTAGTCAAACTACGCACCCCAACCTTCCATTCTCTATCTACCTTCTGTGTTTTAATGGGAAGGTAAGACAAGTAGTTCAGCAGACAGGCTATTTTTGGCGAATTCATTTGCTCTACCCATGTAGTCACATTGATGAACAATATTTTTCACAAAATATGACGGTGAAAAAAGACATGAATTCTCATAATCATAGTTGCTAAAACTGATCCATTATCCCATACGTTCGCCACTCTTTCTCCTTTTTCCCTATTTTTCCCGAAAATTTCCAATTCTGTCCCAACAATTACTTCATTTTCCACGTTTTGTCCGCAATTACTCCATTTTCCCCATTTTGTCCCCACATTTCCCCATTTTGTCCCACAATTTCCCCATTCTGTCCCCACTGTTACACCATTTTCCCCATACGGTCCCCACTATTTCCAATTTTCCCAATATTGTCAGCACCATTTCCCCATTCTGTCCCCACTGTTACCCCATTTTCCCGGTTCAGTCCCCATAATTTCCCCATTTTCTCCCCACAGTTCCCCTATTCTGTCCCCAGAATTCGCATAATTTCCCCATGGTGTCCCTAGAATTTCTCTATTCTTTAATCGAATATTACCACCTTAATTTGTATCCTTTTTAACGAATATTCCACCGTTAACCTGGTAAATTCCCCCCTATCACTCATTTACTATAGCCTTATATTGATTACGTCAAACAACTCAAAAGTCAAATCAAGGATTTTACCGAAAATATTATATATCATTTATTATTTTTTTTAAAGGGGGGGGGGTTAGAGGAAAACAGTTTACAAGATTTCGGTAAATTAATTCTTTAGGATTAATGAACAATTATAGTTGCGATTAATACACACAATTGGAATGATTGCCTTGTAATTTGACATCTGATTGCACTTGTACTAATTCTCCCCATCGTCAAGTAGATGCATTGAACTGTCCTGAAAAGAAAGAAAAATGATTCATTAAGGTAGTAATCCACATTGGCACTTATACAGACAATTGACACTGTAATAATGAAATAAATTTAGAGATAATACTGATATTTGTAAATCGTTTTTGATTTTATTTATCTTTCCCTGTTTCTTTATCACACGTTCAAGTTTTTGGATTGATGTTTATCTGAACAGG